TGCCACGCACCTGAAAACATTCGACTATAATATTTTGATGAAATTTTCAGGTAACATTTCGAAGCCAATATACGTTTGTCACCGATAATAAACTCGATATCATAATTATCCGGATTATCCAAAAATTCAATATTTGATATTGGATCATTCGATTTGAATGTATAGATGGTTGATGTTAAGCCAAAAGTGATTGGTGATTTATTTACTATTGCTGATGCTGCAGCGAATGATTTCAGTTGACCATCCAATTTTTTGATCGGGACCAATTCTTTATTAATTAATCTACCCCACCCATAATAATGTGATGAATGATCCAATGCCAATGAAATATGGAGATAATTCTTACAAGCCATACTTTGCACATTTTCAATCGGTATTTTTGTCGGCACTTTTGCATATTGCTTAGTATCATTAATAGAACGTTGACCATAACCACATCCGAAAATTTGACCATCCTCCAATAAAAATAAAGAATGCCACATACCGGCCACAATATTTTTGATTGGACTATCAATCGAACCATCAGGAAATGAAACAAGTGAAGGTGTTGTTCGGTCATTTGTATCCCCTAGACCTAACTGTCCATACTCATTCCAGCCCCAGGAATAAATTTCATTCGTATTGGTAAGAGCAAGACTATGGCCAGCTCCACAAGCTATTATTTTGACATTATTCAAACCAGTGTCCACAAGATCATTATACGATTCCGGTAAATTACCGGTCAATTGACCATTAGAATTACTTCCCAAAGCGAAAACAGTGCCATCTTGTCGTAACAACAACAAATGATAATGTCCACATGCTACCATTTCAAAACGATCATCTCCGGTGAAAATCAATAAAAAAGTATCGTACGTTTGCCAATCTGAATCACTACTGGCTAGATACACTAGTCCATCATCAGTTAAAACGACCACGAATCTTATGCCCGAATCGACTTGAATAATTTTCTTGCCATTCAAAATGTCAATCTGTTTTGGTCGTTTGGGATCATGTCCTAACCATAGCCATTCGCAAATATTATAACCATATGCATAGGTAGCATCATTGGTCATAAATAGAAAATCATTTTGACGCAAAGACATTTTAAAAATGGAAACGATAGTTGGAATAAATTCCGGATCAATATCTTTTAATTCATCTTCAAATAATTCGATATCCACATCAGTATCGGTTGGTATTTTTTTCATTGTTTTTTTTTCTTGAAAATTTAGTTTTGTTTGCAGCAAAAAAAAACGATATTCAACAATGGTCTATTAAAAACTGAACAATTTATTATTCAATTGATCTGATCATTAACAAAGAATTTTTGAAAAAAAAACACAAATTGAAAGTAAACAAACAAATGAAAAAGGTTACTCGATATATCGTTGCATATGTGTGCTCAAAAAAAAGAAGAAAAGAAAACATCAACGCGCGCAACCGTTTGCGCAACACGTTTTTTTTAGCTGTCAAAATTGAAATGTTAATACAGGCATATGGGACAAAATTTTTTTATTAATTATCAAAATATTATTGACAAATCTTTTTCAAAAAATGATTATCGCTTAACAAAAAAAATTTAAGAAATTCGTTAATATTTTCATTGTTTTCCAAAAGATTGTTAGTAATTTTCGGTAAAACCTCTTCGATGGTTAGCTGGACAAGTTTATCATTCATTTCATTAAGTTCATATTTATCAATCAAAGGAAAATAAATGAATAAAGTTCGTTCATTTAGATCCGTTCGTATGAATGTTTTACAATGTTTCATTAATCGTTCATCACCATAACAATTGGCCAAATCAATAAGTTCGGCTATATTGGATTGATTGATTCGAATCCGGCCAGTATGTAACATA